CCCTTGAGGCCTGGAGTTCCCCCACCCCTTATCTAAATGTTTTATGACTGTACTCACCAAAAAAGAAAAAGAGCCTCAGGTAAAATGAAGTTTTTCCAAAAGAAATTACATTCTCAAAGACTCAGAGAAAGTCAAAGACTTCTACTTCCTCAAAACATTATTATTATTATTACTACCCTTAATTCATTTTTCTGCACTACAAATTTAACTTAAAAAAAAAAAAGAAAAAACACGCTGCACAAAATATGCTGGTGGAATAAATATTTCACTGGCTGGGTTTGGAAAAACACAAACCAGAACTTTTTAGTGGCATTTGGAATTTAAGAAATCCTAAATGTATTACAAGCATATAGAAAATCTATGCACTTCAAATAAGCACAGACACACATTTAGTACTTTTTTTTTTTTTTTTTTTGGCCTGTCCCGTTTGGCTCTTTTGCCATCAGAATTGTTGTCTAAAGGCACATTTAGTACATTTAGTAAACTACACAGTTATTTTTGTCTTTTAGAGATGGAGCAAGACAAAAGAAGCTTGTAAAGAATGATTATAAACTGCTTATTTGAAGTAAAATGTAACTTCTATAAATTACAGCAATGACAGAAATGGTTGACATAAACAAAACAAAACAAAGTTTAATTATTAAAGATTTAGACCTGACTGATTGTCTCTGGTCCTCGCTCTCCTACCAACAGATGAATTGACATAGTGCCGTAGTTCCATTCTTCTTTATTGACAGTCTTGAACCGATGTTCAGGGAATGTGTTCTGGCTTGTAAATTGTGACTGTAATAGTTTCTAAAGTAGTTAGTTCCTTGATTTGTTCAAAGGGGAGGGTAAATTCATCATTTCTTTTCGTGGCCAAGTGATTTGAGACTAAAATTAACAATGAGTAAATGTGACATCATCACTTGCTTTTCATTTTGCTTTGAGTTTTTCAGAGGGGCAACTTATTGTTTTAGCTTGTTTTGTATTGCTTAAAAAATGTTAAAATTTACCAAAGTGAAAGCTTTGAAAACAATGTTCCGTCATAACATTTACTCTACCGTCATCGGTAGCACGTGAAAGAACCTTACACAACCACAACAACCTGGCACCTCCTCCTTATGCTGGTTTATAGTTCTGTGTCAACATATGCTCCTTATGTTTGGTCCCATACTGCTGTGAGATGGCATCCAATTCTTCAACCAGCATTAAGCGCAAGTCTGCCAGTATAGCTGTGTTGGTCGCTCTTGCACAAAAGTCAAGCACAAGCTGATCCCACAAGTTAGCATGGGACTAAATGCAGTATTTTTTTACTCCCAAATTCTGGAGGTAGTCAGTGGTAAATCCTGCTTTGTTGGGGCAATGTTGCCATTTTGGAGGATAGAGTTTCTCTGGTTGAGGAAATGCCATATCCCATCTCAGTATTTCTGTGGATTGAGATCCAGTGATGACAAGCCTTGTTTTTGGTGGAGATGAGAAAAGCTGTTACCCTATCGGTATAGCAGTCAGCATAGCGCTCTCCATGTCTTTTCCACGTTTTAAACCTGCGATCCAACTGCCATAGGCCGTATCTGGACTCATCGCTCAACACAACATTGATCAACATGTTCAGGTTTCAGTGCACATGTTGCCGACACCAGCGCAAATGAGCATGATGGTGTAGGGCAGTCATTGCAGGCCTCCTGGCAGCCACGTGAGACCAGAGACTGGCTGTGTGCACTCTGTTCTGGATTGTCTGGGTAGAAAGCTCAAAAATGCTCCCAATTTTCATCTGATAGTAAGTTGTTCTTGACAGCATTGTAGATATTTATTTAGCTATACAAATAATGATATTTTCTAATTCTTCAGCCATGAATAAATGAAGAAAAAGGGAAGACGTCATTTAGATTGCAGTAAGCTGCAGGAGGCTGTCAGCATAAACAAAACACAAAGCAGTATGTTTTCATGTAGTAAAAGTAGTGGAAGCAGATTTCTGTGTCAATGCGTGTGTGTGTGTGTGTGTGTGTCCTTTCCTTTCTGCAAAAGTCATTGCATGCCATTACTCTGTATCACACTGTCATGCGATTTTACTTCCCTATGAGTTCATGAACTACACTGTTGGTATTTAAAGCACTTAATGTTGTCCTGCTATATATACATCTATATATAATGTTAATATATAGATGTAATTTCTGCACGTTTTTACCAAGCCTAGTGTTTATTTGCTTTTTGTTAAATAGATTTATAGTTGTTTATTGTCTTCCTTCCCTCAACCAGTCACAACAGATGGCCGCCACTCCCTGAGCCTGGTTCCGCCAGAGGTTTCTTCCTGTTAGAAAAAAAAGAGTTTTTTCTTCCCACTGTCGCCAAAGCGCTTGCTCATAAGGGGTCATATGCAGAGGTCTCGCACTCCAGGCCTCTTGGGCTGGTGTCCTGCAGGTTTTAGATATCACCCTGGGTTGACACACCTGAATCAAATGAATAGTTCATTGCCTCTGGAGAAATTCAAGACATGTGGAGGTAATTTAGCCATTTAAATCAGCTGTGTTAGATCAAGGACATATCAGGAAGAAAATATAGAAAGAACAGATGCTCCTTTTGGATTAAAACTGTTTCTGAAAACATGAAAAACACATTTTACTAAACTGTTCATATAATTTTCTTAACATCCAACCTTTTGCTGTGTGATGTGGAACATGAGGGTAAATACTCACTTCCTCCAATACAGTTTAGGCCCTTTTTAAATCTGTCTCTCACATCTGACCAAAAATATTGGAAGTAAAAGAGTAATAATAGAAAGTAGCAAAATTATCATTAATTGTGACATGTAAGACAACATGGATAACATGTAAGGTGTTTTAAAGTATAATTTCAACATAGAACAGAATATTGATTTTTTTCAAATCAGTGTTTGTTTATTCATCACTCAAATTATGATGTAAAATGAGTAACAGAAGCAAGACTATAATATGCATATATTTCAAGCCCCAAACCAAAGTTGTTACAGTTATGACGCTACATGTCATCTGAAGTAACCTAATCCATACTTAGTATTTTAAAACTGCAAAACTAGTATTTACTAACATGAACTGAGGTGAATTGCCACAGTGGTTTTCCGACTGTCGCCTAAAAATATTTAAATGCAAACAGCCCCATCTAGGGAGCACATGTGCTCAGTACAACTATTAACTTGCACAAAGCCGTACAATAGGTTTGTTTCTTTATAATGTATAATACCTCTGTGTTGACGAGCAATTCATTTTTCCAAGAAGGAGGACTGATTGAGATTAATTGTGTCTTTATTTTTTATAGATTATTAGGTAATAGTTTTTTTGTTGTTGTTTGGCCCAACCCTGCTTGAGTTTAGATTGGGAGACATGTGGCCATAAAATAAAATTAATCTTTTTCTTAAATTTTATTTTTGCATTTAAATTAAACATAACATGCTTATACAAAATCAACCAAGAACAATTACTGTTTTTAACATTTGTGAACTTATAAGCATGAAAGGGAAAAAAATAAATAAATAAATAAAATTAACCTTAACAGGCCTTCAATTCAAAAAGTAAACATTTTTTACTGATTGAATAATTACTTAGAAACCTGCAGACATGAGTATAAAACAATGTGCGGGGGCAGTTGTATACACGATAATTGGTGCCCGATATCAGTCACCTCTTAGTTCAGTGCCTCCCACTCCCCACCAGTTTTAACCAGTTAAATAGATACAGTCTCATATAAAACCATGTGAACTGTTAGTAGAGGTTAGTCTCTTCTGGGAAGTTGGCTGCTAACAATACATAGTGATTTCATTTCAGGCTAACATATTATTTGGGACATGATATGCCTAGAGTTATATTACTGGAGCTTGCTGGAGGCAACTCTGTACAGTCCACAGCCACCATGGTGATTCACAGATAATGTGGGAAGGTTTGGATCTTGGGCTGTTACTTCATGCTTCCACATTGTCATCACTAAGCTCATTAGTTACTTATTGCCTAAATAAGATAAGCCAGGTTTTATTCTTGCTGTCACACTAATATCAGAGCCATGACTATGGTGGTTTAAATAATGTGATTCAAATGGGTTTTCCTAATAATGCCATGTTATATTTAAACAGTAACTGAGAACCAACTTTTCTGAGTTGTTTTAGGCAATTTTCACTTTAAAATATGTGTAACTGCCTGATGAAACTAATAGGAAATAAAAAGTGTCTGAATCATTATGAGCTAGCCCACATATTGGTAAAAGTACATGGATGCAGATTTTCTGGTAGTAGCAGAATCCTTTATCTTACCCTCTGTGGATACAGGATTGTTGTATGCAGTGGATCTGGAAAAGGTATACAGGTAGCTCTTTATTTTCACTGTTACAAGAACAATGAAAGGCAGTTTGGCATCTCTCCATGTGTGAAATACACAATAGCGTAAGTATTTAAACAATAACACAAACAATGTACATTTACACAAGAAAGATATGTGCAAGTTATACATACACACACACACACGTACATACGGATACACCCAGTATTCTTCTATACAGTATTCTTCACTAAGATTTATGTACATCTACTTCTACTAAAAATGAGATCTACTAGCTTGAATATTCTGACTGGCTTGGCCATCAAAGAATATCTCATTTCTTTGCTTTGAGAAACACTTGGGCTTGTTACGACCCGGCTCAAAGCCGCAACATAAAAAAGGAGACGAATACCAGAGTATGGGTGAGAAGAGGGTTTTATCTTAAAATGGAAAACCAGGTTGGCTAAAATGGCTAATGCCACCAAGGCAAAGACAAGTGAGCTCCCTGGGAAGCTTGCCTCAGGTAACAATTAGTCACAATTAAGATGGTGCAGGGACTTGCCCCTGACAACACAGACAGGGGCAAGACAGTCTGAATTTTAACTGTAGTGCTCAGTAAAAGTGAAAGCTGCATTCAAGGCAAAAAAAAAAAAAGTGTTTTTTCAACAGAGTGCAAAGAGAGGCAGTAGGTTTGTGGTGGTCAGAAGGAATGCAGATAGTCACACATAGCTGAGCACAGAGTTGCATATCCTCCACCCACGCATCTGCAAACACACTCACACATTGCAGCCAGTGGTGTTCATGCATCTTATGTGAAACCTATAACCTAGTCTGCCATTTGTGGTGTGGTCCTCGTGTTCATCTTTGGTGATTCCTGCTGTTGTATCTTATCTACAATGTCATGGTTTACTGGCTTTTCAGTGGTGCTGTTGATGACTTTTCCGCTGTTGTTTGCTCAGGAGACAGGTTAGTAAACAATTTTTAATTTTTTTTCTCTAAATTTTATTTTCTTGATAACGGATGGTGTCATCGCCAGAAAATCTATCTCAATAAAACCATACATGATACGTCATTTCTAATTATACTCCTACATTAAGCTAAGAAAATCATCTAAATATAAAAATATGTATGTAGACATATCCGTGGCAGTATAACCTTGTTATAATCAAATGTGTGTTAATAACAGCTTGTAGTCTGACCATTAACCGTACTTGAAAGTGAGGCTTAAAGGTTTTGGGAATAATAGAAAATGTTACAGTATGTGAAATATTTATTCTAATCTTTTCACTGACTTAATACCAAAGAAGCATCACTCATAAACATAAAGCCTGAGGGTATCACTGCTTACAACATAATATTGACCTTCAGTATTTGACATCATCGATACATTTATACTAACCTTTTGTTTTTACACTGGATTTAAAAAGTGACCAGAACAAAGTGAGGAGTAACACCCCCCAAAAAACTCAGTGTCAATATGATATAATAGGCATTAAGGGGTTACAGAATGCAATGCACAGGTCAAATCTCCTTTTTTCACGTAATTAAAAGCAGTATCTTATCCATCAACCTCTTTTGACCAAGTTGACTTTAGTTTACACAACTTAGCAGTGTCTCCAGCCCAGTAAACCGAGACTCCAGCATATAGCGGCTGACTGAATTTGGTTTGGACTTTGTGAAGGAGAATCATTTCTTCAGAAATGCCGTAGAATGACAGTGTACCGGCCCTGTGATCCAGGAACACCCCTATTTTGGGCATCTGAGAGCCTGAGAGTAAAGTTTTCATATTGTTATGTCTGAAATAGTAATTAAAGTCAAAACATCCTAATGCCCAAGACTTGTCGTTGTTTCCAAATCCACTCTCATCCCCAGTTCTGCTAATGTCCTTGTATGCAACAGCTACTAAAATTCCCCCACCGCTTCTCTCAACCTCCCAGTAACAACGTCCAGTCAGACTCTCATTGCTGAGGCCTTGAAGCCAGTGAGTGAATCTGTCTGGGTGACAGTCATATATTTGCTTTTCTCTCATCACTGTTGCTTTTGTGTTGCCTTCAGATAATGATATCCACGGGTTGATAGTCTGGGGATCCAACGTGATTTTACGAGAATATTGTAGGAATTCTTCTCTTGTCTCTGGCTCTGGGATTGGCAGTAAAACATCCACTTCAGTCACTTTTAGTGAGATTTTTGGCCATTCCTCATTTAGAACATTTTCCAGCTTACCTCTGATCTCTGACAAAGCCTCTGTCACATGCTCAAAGTACAGGGGAGGATGGACATCTAAGCTGGGCAAGTCTGTGGACTCACTTAAATGTGACAGTGAAGGGTAATTAAGTAGAAACTGGATGTGGTCATCAGTATTTGAGAGCAGCTCTAGTTCCGCATCCTTCACCCACAACTCAGCAATTTCCTGCTCCAGTTTCTTCTTTAACTCTGTAACTCGATTAACTTCAGCTTTCTGCTGGAATCGGATTTGTTCATTTAAAGCAGAGCTCATTTTCTCAACAAGACAAACTAGTTCTGTGAAGATCTTTTTGCTGTCGTTCACTATTTTATCTGCAGAGAAATTGATGGCCTCAATCTCCTCCTGAAGAACTTTCAGATCTTTTTCTCTGTTCTGAATTCTCATCTGGATTTTTTCCCGACTCACCCCAAGCTTCATCTGCTTATGGTTTCTTTCTGCTTTAGCTGAGACGGTGTCGTGATTTTTGTGTTCATCAACAGAGCACAAAAAGCAGATTGCCTGCTGGTCAGTGCGACAAAAGATCTTCATCACCTCATCATGATGAGAGCAAAATTTCTCCTGTAGATTTTTTAGCGGTTCAACCAATTTGTGCTTTTCAAAGGCAGAGGATTCGTAGTGAGGCTGAAGGTGGAGCTCACAGTAGGAGATCCGGCACACCAAACACGACTTGAGGGCTTTCAGCTTTTTGTCAGTGCAGAAATCACAGGCTACATCTCCAGGCTTGGCATAGCAGTGATCAGCTGGAGCAAACTGAAGTCTTGTTTTCTTCAGGGCTTCAACCAAATCAGCAAACATGGCACTTTTCACCAAGTCTGGCTTTGGTGCAAAGGTCTGTTTGCAGTGAGGGCAGCTGTAGCTTTTATTATGTTCTTCTTCAGTCCAGCGGCTTTCAATACAATTCATGCAGTAGCTGTGCCCACAGGGAATGGTCACTGGCTCCTTAAGTAAATCCAAACATATGGAACAGCAGAGCTTTTCTTGGTCTAGCTCCATCGCCATTTCACTTGATAATACATTTGAATATACAGTGACTCCGATAGGGAAAAGGGTGTGGTAGTCAGCTTACACAACATTCCAGTAAGAGGAGTGGTTTATTAGAAGAGGAAGTGTGCTTTGAGTCCCTATTTTCTCAGTGAAAGTTGCATGACCTCATAAGTCTTTTTAGCGGTAGCAGAAAAAAAATATGTCTAGATATCAGGTATTTCAAAGATACAGTTTCACTTTTCTTGATTTATTTCTGTTAGAAAAAGTAAGCAATTCAAGGAAGAATGAAATATAACCACAATTTATCTGACAATTACTGATCTGTTATTTTGTTATGAAGAAAACCTAGACATCTAGTTTTTACTCTTGCTGTAAAAACATAAGCAATAATATTTTGATTAGTAATCCTTAAAACTGCAGATAGCAGTAGAAAAAAAAACATGCACTGTTTGATCGACAAAGCACAGCAGTGAGTAAACTTCCAGGCAGCTGTCAGGAAATTCAACCTGCCACAACATGGGTGGTGTCGTTTTTGAGAGTGTCCTGACCTATAAGGTCCTGATAATGAGAAGCAGTAGCTCTGGGGCTCACAAAAAGGCCCTTCATAGAGTTAATATAACTGTAGAGAAAACAACACACATACCTGTTCCGAACAATATCATAACATCCTGCTGTCTCTGGAAAACAACAAACATCATAAAAGACCCATCACACCCAGTTTACCATCTCTTTGAACAGCTCCCATTGGGCAGATGATATTTTAACACACACCAGTAGCAATGACTTTATGTGACTCAAAAATGATTTGGGAATTCAATTTATTTTCATGAAGTGAGATATTAACACTGGGTTTTTTTTATGTTCTAGATAATTTAGAAGTCCGCTACCTACAGAAGACATTCACTCCGTCTATAGGCTCATCAGTCACACTAACTTGTGAGGCACATTACGACTTCGAATTGTGTGGTGTGGTGCATGTTGTGTGGCATGATGTCACCAGTGGAAGTGTTGAGCTAATTAACCCCAAAAAGTACTTCACAACAGTGAGTGAGACAATCTCTGAAGGGAAAAGACGCAGACTGGTTGTGACAGAGATCCTCAATGTGACACCAAAGGATGCTGGTACCTTTCAGTGCAAGGCTATGTGTACAGCAAGTGGAGAGACAGCCATGGGCCATTTTATCACTGTTGATGTCGAAGGTATTTTCATGATCAGAGTCACTAAATATGTCATTATTATTTTTGAACTTTGATTATAACAATCTACTCCTCAGTACGGCTTTGTATTTGAGGAGTTGAAATATTTGTAATTTTTTAACTTTGTGGGAAGGCGGGGAGATAAACTCAGTTTCTACCACATATGGATTTGATGTCTCATTCTGCTGTTCTGTCTGTTCTTTTACAGATCAGTGACTGAGGCAGCTGTTTTTTTGGATGGATACTTTGATGAATATTGTTCAAAAAGCATTTCAAGAACACCTCTTTGCTCTGTTTTGGCTGAATGAAGTAAATGGATCAAACATATTTTTCACCATTTTTTTATATTACAGCAACAAGTGATTTTTTTTTTTACAAATTTAATGTTTCATCATAGAGTATAACTGCTTCAGTTGCATATTAAAGATTTATCGTATCACTACGACTGTCTGTAATCTCTTTAATATACAGTAGTAGTAGTCCCAAAGCAGCTACTTTTTATTTCTGTGTCATTTAGAATAGGGGAGGCTAATATTATAATACAAATCTATTTTACTTTGTATATATTAGGTTGTATTTTACTAGTGCTGTGAATTTTGGACTAATGTAAGGGAACATTAAAAATACATTGAGAAAGAATAAAGAAATATGTTGCTAAACTGACCTACCATAAGTAAATGCAGTTCTTTCTGGATATCAGATTCTGTCATCATTGCCAGAATAATTTGGTGTGGAAACTGAAATTAAACAAAATGCAGTTTGGAAGAACAAATTAATAACAACCAAGCGTTAAAATTGCAGCTGGAAGCCATGCTGTGCACACATGTTGAAAGTGAAAGCAGAGAAGGAAAGAAACCCAGGCTGCTGCAATGTGGAGAGGTTCAGTGGAACAAACAGACCTTTAAGTACGTGCTGGTCTGACTGTGTCGGTGCAGTAGCTGGTTGCAAAAAAGGTGTGAAAAGCCACAGCAACCATCACCAGGTTAAAAAAAAAATCAAGGTTGGAGCTTGCCTCTATCTCTCAGACCACAATGCCATCATCCAAATTCATACTCGCCTATTTATTTATTTTTTAAAACCACACACTAGAGAGCACGTAGCCAAGGCAGAAATAATTAACCTGAATTGGGATATATGATGATTAATAAATCATAAAGAAAGAAAATGTAATAAAAAAATAAAACTCAACAATACAAATAATCCCCAAAAATATAGCAGAAATACTAATAAAACATTAATTTCTCCAACAGAATTAGTTAGTTGTATTTATTTTACTGATCAAAATCATTCATCATATTTTATTTAATGATTGTAAAAAAAAAACCATAACCTAGAATGAACTGGTACGAGCATCTTTAACTGTCTTGGCACTTTCATTTCTCGCTTTACTAGTAGAAAGCTCGAAGAAGCCAAACCACGGGACAGGAAACTGTATCAACTGCATTGTACTGCTTTGAAGTCAGTCTTAAAGCAGCGTGCATGGTCAGATTAAATAGGGCACCTCGCTTAACATATCACCGGATCTCACTAATCACACTTTTCAACATTTTTAAGGGTGACTGAGCTCTTAATTCATGAAAAAATTTGTTACGTAGAACTGAAGCAAATGGCAATTTCTCAGGAATGAGACTAATTGTCATTTCGTTACATTTTTGGTAACTACAACTTTTCTTCCAGAACCACAGAAAACGTTTTCAGAATCAGAATATTACATTGTGTTAATTAATGATACAATCTTCATGATTGTAATCTAGTCCTAGTTCAGCTTTACTAGTTAGCAAATTATGAAATTACTGTCATGAAAATGCATATTTGTTCATGTTTAAAAACATACGTGAAATGTTTAAACAATATAGCCCACTTTACTAGCTCAATATATTACAAGATTGAATTATGTTTTAATATAAATATTTATTATTTTAATCTTTACCCACATCCCATTCACTCAAATAATTGTCACTTTGGATTATTTTATTTGACTACATTAAATTTTAGAGGGATTTATGCAATTTTGATACTCACTGTGATTTCTAAAGCCGCCCAAAATCTTTTACTTTCACCACTGGGTAACATATAAAATCTGAAAATGGTAATTTCATATCTGTGACATGAAACACTGTGATGCCAATAAATCGCACTGTGTCAAACACCAAATTACATTTCTGTTTTGAGAGGCACAACAAATCTTTAATGTGTTCTAAACTGGGAAAGTCAGTGGGCGACATAGCTGCTGAACAGGAAGCCACATTTAGTGCATGTTGCAAGTAGCTTGACAGGCCCTAAACCGATTCACCACAGTGGTCTTTTTTAGCAGAATGTACAGTACAATGAAGGCAAACATACATGAATGCAAAACTTAACTAAACTGCATTCACGTATAAAAGCTCTTATATTTGTTGTTAAATCGAAACAACGGCAAACATGTTGATCTTGGGAGCAGCTTATGGTATTGTAGTAAGGGCAGTTCTCTTTTAGGCCTTTGTGTGTCACAGTTGAGAACTTTGATAGCTTTGTGCTCATACTGCTTACAGGTGTTTATGCTTCAAAAGACCTTTTCCAGTGTGATCAATATAAATTTTTTTATCAACTAAATTGTTTAATATGGAGTCCTCGAAATGGGTACAAGGAAGAAAAAATAAAATAAAATAATTTTCCTGTCATTAATTTTTTGTTATTGTGTTTTCTCCATTAAATAGATTTTTAATTTATGCATTTTTAGTAGCCCGTGTTACTGTTAGTCTTTGAATTGATTGCTACTCAGAAATCAAAGGAAATAAAACGTCTTCACAATAAATATTTAGATTCGAAGGTTGTTCACACACTTGCTCATCTAGTTTTTCATATAGACTGAAATGTCTTAATCTACAAGTTGAAAAACATTACAGAATAATAATTTATAACTCATAGATAATTGAATTATCTATTTTGTATTTATGCTTTGGGCAATGTGGATGTCTTAGATTTTGGCATCCTAGCAGCCTTAAAGGTTTCTTCTCTGTTTCTATACAATGAACATTCAGTGACATCTGCCAGGGAAGACGTTTTCATTGAATCGTCTGAAGGAGAGATAGTTAAGATAGTTTAGAAAAAAAGGCTCAAATTTAGCATGTTTATTCTTAAACGTGGAAATATCCATACATCCACCACAGGGATTCATGGCCCATAAAATGTGAACCTCAAACAGAATGAGAGGCTTTGCTTTTTCATCCTCAACAATTTTTTAAAATTTCACATCAAAAAGTGGGAAATTATAAAACACAGATTACCATGTCCTCTCACAGTATATGTGGGAAAATAATAAAATACATTTATTTAAAAAAATACATTTTTAAATGATGACTTGAACTCAATATTAGGGGAATGAAGGGCAAGAAAGTCATAATTCTATTAGCAATCATATTACTGGTTTATATTTAAAGTGTTTCTCAGAACGGTATCACAAACTGTGAACGTTTAAACAACCATGTTTAATGCCTTTTCTTTCCCCTGAAAAAAATCCAATCAAATCCCTTTAGATGTTGGGAGCACAGCTTTTCTGGGAGCCTTCCTCAGGTGGTTTGGTCAGCAGATAGCAGGAGTACATACTGCTAAGTTACCTTGATGGCCCAATTTCCATTCTGGTAAAGTTTTGGCACACATTTCCCTCACCTTTTACTGTCCAGTTTTTATCTAACATTTCAGTGCTATGTTTTGCAAAACCTCTGTAGATCTGTGAGACGACAAACGCAAAGTTCAGCACTCTGGTTTCATAAATTTGCTCTGCAGGAACACTCTGGGTACACAAAGTCCCTCCTTCTTGTTGACAGTCTCTCTAAGAACATAGTCATTAGAAACGCACTTGAAGCCCGTCTTCTCAAACAGCTCAGCCAGGAACTCTGAGGGCAGTTATAAAAAAGAAAGAAAAAGGTTTAGAGATTTTCTGATGTGTCATAAAAAGATGAAATGCATAAATTGAGCCTTCTCTACTTGAAAAGGTTATCTCAACAATGAGTGACCAAGGAAGGAAAGGTCAATGTTCTTGCATATGAATGTGCTGATATTCTGAAATAAAATAAAAGGTGTGAAGCCTCAATTCACACATTTCTAAACCGGTAATATATATATCTATCTCTAATTATAGAGATAAGCTAAGTTAGTATCAACAAAAAATAACTTCCTTAAAATAAACTACTGACCTTTAGAGAAAAAGTAGGACCTAGTTCCATCTTGCCGTACATAGAGGTTCTCTCCCAGCTTATTTCCGGGTTTAAATCGGAGCATGGCATGGTCATAAAGTCCGTAGTCCCTGAAGAGGATAAATCCCCCAGGCTTCAAAACCTTAAGATCACATGCAAATCACATTAAACTATTTCAATCTGACTAATGTGGCACATTAAAAGCATATCGAGAAATTAACCACCAAATACATCATCAGATTAAAGGCTTCTTTCAATCAAACATTTCGTTTTATCCACATTATGAGTACAGAAAGCAAGTGCTTGTGTAGTTCCAGTAGGAGAGAACTCTCCCACCTATCATTTCATTTAAACTATACAAGCTGTTGGGAGTACAGACTTATACTAAATCTATCCACATGCCATCTCTGCTCTCACCCTGCTAATGTTCTCCAAAACCAGCTTCATTTTGTCAGGATGGACAGCTGACAGGACGAAGATGAGTGTGATGACATCCACACTGCTTTCTGGCACATTTTCCATCAGGTCATCTTTAGTTAAATCACACTGGAAGGCACAACAGCGGTCGGGGCAGTACAGAGGGTTTTGCTGTTAACACAAAGAAAACAAAGGAAAGAATGTTTTTTTTTTTACAAAATTCAGTGGGGTTTTTTCTTTTTGTTGATTCCAAGATTCTCAGGTTAAAATGTCTGAATCCATTGAATGTAAAGTAGTATTACAGCTTCACTAATAGAGCTTACTCTGACAAATTCAACAGCTCGTGGTGAGAAGTCACAGGCATAAACAAAGATGTTGAGGTCATCCTCGAGCAGAGGGAAGATGCAGTTTCCAACACCACAGCCTGCCTCCAGCAGCACCAACTTCTGGGACTCAAACTGCAAGCCAGATGGGACAAAGATAAATTAAAAATAGCCACAAACAAATGTAGTATCTAAGGTAAAAACAGACTTTGTACAATCAAACAAGCTTGAAAAAAATCAGTATTTGGTATGACCACTGTTATTCCTCAACACAGCCGGAATTCTCTTAAGTAAGCTTTCTTGTAATTTCTTCAAGAGGCCTCCAGGAATAGTTCTCCATGCTTCCTTGGGTGTTTATTGTCTTATGTAGTCTGGAAGATGAGTGGATGGTGGGGTGGGTGCAGTTTTCTCTGTGGTGGGGTTGGGTGGA